AGATCTGCCCCCTTCTAATTCTATGCCCTTCCACAGATAAGACAAACCCAAGTGGGATTTTGCCCAACTCCAAAATGGCTTCTTGCTCTCATCAGAATGGCTGCCTTCACCCAATATCTTGTCCTCCGACAAGCCTTCCCAAAGGCCCAACACAGAAGCTCTCTCCCCACACCAGTCATCACTGGTGTGCCAGAAACAAACCACGTGTGGGCAATGCAGCAATTTCAGTGGCATTTATTCTCCAAAGGAATCGCTCCAGAAGCCACCACTCTGGAATTTGGATTTCATGTCTATTATCCTCTCAATTAGATGTGGCTCCGCTCTGGACGCATCCATGGGAACCACCTCCTGGGCCAGCCAACTTGTGAAAGAAATCTAGTCATGCTCCACGTTCGTAGTCTAGAGCGACAAGGGTCGGCCAAAATGGCACAGAGGATGGAAGGCCTCCCTTTTTTGCCTGTTGCTCTTATTTGCCTGGAGGCCTCTCTCACACCCTCACATTTTTTCTGTCTCACAGCAAATCTAGCAGAAATCACAGGCTCCCTCCTCATAAGGAATTTCTCTAGCCCCCCCTCTTCCAAGAGTGCTTGGTAGGGGATGCTACTGCTGCTTTCTTAGTATCCTGTGCCCATGAGTTCCACCGGCCCACAAGGCCACTTCCTTTTGAAGTGGACATAATGGGTTCCGTGGCTTCCCGCTCGCTTCTCCTGATCCACACGTGGGAAACGTCCAGATCTTCTGAAGATTACAAATAACCCACCCCCAGACCCAAAAGGCGGACCCACCCCCAGACCCAGAGGGCGGCTCCCACTTCTACACTTCCAATCCTGAAAAATATTTTTCTTTTAAAACTGCATTTTAATGAGAAAAAGGGCTTCTAATGGCCTCTAGTGATTGTCTTTTTAAAAAGGTTACTTTTGGGGGACTTGGGGTGCCAGGGTGGAAACCTGGCAGAGGGAATGCAGGGGAAACTGTTCAGGGTCAGATGGATTTATTTTAAAATGGACCCCCTCAGACAGGGGACCTTGGGGCTCTGGAGGGGCAAAAAACAGCCCACTACCCTCCCCTTTGCCCACCTCTGTCCTAATTGAGCCGCTGATTCTCTCCTTTCTATCTTCTCCTCTTAAAAGAGCTGAAAGCAAACTCCGAGTCAAAACATCTGTGGAGCAGGAATCATCGGTATCCCGCTACAGACCCCCAGATTCCTACCCTCAAGAACTTTTACACACTCCTCTCCACACAAGGCAAAGTGATGGATGGATTCAAAACTGCAAATTATGACAATACATCCCCAAGTCACAAGTAAATGAAAATTTAAAAAACTAACTAAATAAAATGGAATAAATCGTGTTGTGATTGTTTTTCTGTTGGCTGGGCAAAGACCCTCAGGGCCATCTCCTCGCCCACCCTTTTTAAAACAGGAGAGCTTTTTAAAATCTACCTCCCCTTCATTGCATTTCTGTATACAGTAGGAACAGCACCACCCCCGCGTATCCGTACAGTATTATAATAGCAAATGCATGGTCCTCCCGTATGTTGTCAGGTATAGTAATGGTATCATGCAAATATACTTCTCGTACCCTGTATTTGAACAAATGTAGATGGTTTATTTATATTATTTATTTATTTGATTTCTATCCCGCCTATCTGGTCTTATTTGACCAGATAGGCGGGTTGTACATGGAAAAATAAAACATCCCCTGAAAATAAGCCCTAATGTGTTTTTGGAACGAAAATTAATTATATTTATTTTTGGAGAAACATGGTAGCAAATGCTATACATTCCATGGTCTCTGGTGCCCTCTAGTGTTTAGTTCTGGTAACTTTATAATCCACAAGGTGTATTTTGGGGGGTTTTCTTTTCATATTTTTAATACTTACAGAGCGTGGATATGGAAATCTGCGGATACTTATCCTGTGGACAAGGGGTTATTCATGCACACATTTGCCGAGTAACTGTTTATTTAAAATATTTTTACCCTGCCTTTCTCGTTAAAAGGACCCAAGGCAGTTTACAATTAGGAGAATATTTAAAAGTTAAAAATAAGCATATAAATATTTTCAAAAGAATGAAACACGCGTTAATTTAAAAATGGGCCACCAAATCAATCCTGAAAGCACATTTTAAAAGAATAGAGCACAACAATTCATTAAAAAAAACCCCTCTGTGGTCTCTGACTCCAAAGGGGGGAGGGTTTAGTTTAGTAGAGAGTTTAGTCTAGTTTTATATTTTATTATTCCCTTTTTGCTTTTTCTACTTTTTGTTTTTTGTATGTTGAATTAATTTTTAAAAAAACCCTCTCAGGCCGCCAATGGCTAAGGGAACGCCTTTCCGCTGAGGGAGTGCAAGGAACACGGACAACCTGGATCGCCTTCAGGGAAAACATCCCAGGTGGACGGTGCCATTGCTCAGTGCTGGGTTAGCCAAAAGCAAGACAGCCGACAACCGGAATCGGATTCCTGGAGGGGCCTCCTGGCCTGGCTGGCATCACAGACTGGCCGGGGGGGGGGAGTTTTTCTCTCTCTCTCAGCTTTGCCCACCTGGCTTCTCTGAGCAGCACGACAGACTTGGGGGATGAGGAGTTGCAAGCATCCAGGGAGAGTCTGGTCCCACAGAAAGCTGGCTGTCTCCATGAGAGGACCTCCCACCCAGGACGGACCCCACCCCTTGCCCCACAGTCTCCTGGCCTGAGGGGGCTGGTCTGTGGTGCTGCCGTTGCCTCAGCTTGTTCTGCTCGGGGACTTCAATGTCCCTGCGGCTATCAGTCCACCAGGAATCGCTCAGAGGTTCAGGTCTATGGGGCAGCTATGGGGCTGTCACAACCGACATCCGGTCCCACCCATTGCAGGGCACACTCTTGAGCTGGGCAGGACGGAGGTGACCTGGGGACAGAGGAAATCTCGGAGCAGGAATGTTGGCAAGTCCTCTGGTCCACATTTCCATGGCTCTGCACCCCCAAAAGGGAGGCGCATGCGCACACAGTGGGCCTGGAAGGGAAGCTGAGTCAGCACATGCGCGTAGACTTCCCTTCCTGGAGCTGGAACCTCTCTCTGTCAGCTGGGCAGCGAGTGCATTGCTGGGGGGGGGGAAGCTGTCTCTGAGGGTTGCGGTGGTGGCAGGAGCAGATCAGAAGGGGCCCCCACAGGGTCTCAAAAAAATGGGTCCGAGTCACGAGTGGGATTCAAGTCTGCCAAAACAAAAAAATACCCAGAGTAAAAAATACCCAACTCGTCCGTGTGACT